TCGAGGTGTCAGCTGCTCCCATCCCTGTTTTCACTTTCAGTGCTCCCTGGCAGGCTGTTCTCATCCGTGGGACTGGAGCTGAGACCTCCTGCCATGAGCACTCAGACAACGGGGGTTTGGAGCCCGGGCAGGCACAGGACTCCTTGGATTTGTGTCGATTTATGTCCCTGAGGATGAATCCAACGGATCCCTGTGACCTGATCCCTGAGTCTGTGCGTCCCTCCAGGTGGGAAGGGGTCTGCCAGGCGAGAGCAGACCACGGGACTGGCACTTGTTCAGACCCCGAGTGAAGCCCTGAGCGTGGATCTAATCGCTGCCTGTGACACGGATATAAATACTTCCATAAACAAAGGAGGAGAGAGGAGCTGCACAGGCTTCAGACAATGCTGACGCAAGAGGAGGGTAAACTAGCCGGGAATGTGTGGGCTAGAAATTAGGCCATTCCTCACCATCGCAGCGAGGGAGGGTCTGAAACAGCTTTCCAGGAAGAGGAGAGGAGACCTGGAGGAAGGAGTTTGGCAGGAGGCTTTCAGAGGGGTCCCTGAGGGTGGGCAGAGCAACCTCTCGCCCTGCTCAGCCTGGCACTGCCCAGCTCTGGCTCTGCCCAGCCCTGGGCACAGCTCCCAGGCTGGGGGAGCTGGTGCCAACCCTGACAGCAGCCACAGGTCTTTGCACCCCTGTCTGGGCTCCCTTTGGAGCCTGCTGGACACCCTGCCAGGGATGGAGTGGCAGCAGCTTCCCCTGTCCTCAGGGAGGGGCCAGCTGCCCTGAGTCCGGAGCAGTTCCCCCTGGCACCACTGCTGGGAGTGCCTTGGTCCTTCTCCCTGCTCTTGTCACACCCTGGGGCTGCTTGTCTTCCTCAGACCTTACCTGAGGCACCTGCCCAGGTGCCACCACTGCCCATTTCCCAGGATTCTCCCAGCTGGATGCCTTCCCTCCAGAGGGAGAATAATTCCGTGATAGACTGAGGGCTGGTCGTGGTTCTGAGGTGTCTCTGATTTGGGGGAACCTGGAGCCCTGAGGGAGAGCCTTGGGGGTGCCAGCGCTCAGCAGCATGGGGTGATCCCTATGGGATGGCTGCTCCTGGCAGGGGGATTTGTGAGGGATGGGAAGGTGGCTCAGGCTCTGTAGCACCGGGATGATGGAGTGGCCATCAGGGAACGCTGTTTCTCACAGCATAAGAGGTGAAGTTGGCTCAACTATGAATCTCCTGGGAGTGCTCAGAAACCCAAAGGGTGCTCAGAAATCCAAGCAAAGTGCTCTGCTTTGGGTTCCACTTGCTTGCTGCTCCTGGTGGCACGTGCAGGGAGCTCCACTAGACTGGCAAGGCGTGACTTGCTTTGATGGAAGCGTTACCGGTTTGTTCCTGTCACTAGAAAATCTCCTTGAAAGATTTTATAACTCCCTTTGATGATTTTTCACCCATTTTCCCTGGTGTTAGAATAAGACTCATTGGATTATGATTTCTGAGATACTCGACTTGAAAAAAAAAAAAGATAAGTGATATATTTTTTTTTACCCCTCAGCAGAGAGGTTGATTTAATAAGAGAAAACGAACGTGAATGACTCTGCAAGTCTGTGATGGAGTTTGGGGGTGGCCAGTGCGTTTTTCCAACCATTCACAGCTGTGCCTTAAATATTATTGGGAACTAATGAGGTACCAGAAGATTGGGGGGGAGAAAAAGCAAGAATAATCCTGGTGATTACCATCTGGAGCGTTTAATTTCTCCCTCTAGTGAAATAACAAGGCAGAAAAAAAGGAAATAAATGAAGTCAGTGATGGGGAATAGTTGAATAGAACTCAGGTGGGCACCACTGCCAGCCTGGGCAGAGGGGGATTTGCTTGGAATGGCCATGGGTCAGATCCTGTTGGACACTGTGACTGCAGGATGGATCCAAAGGGCTCCTCTGTGCTGACTCTGTGTTCCTCCCACTCTCATTTCTGACCTCTTTAGGGCCTTTTCACTCTCCTGCTCCCAGTTTCATGCCCCATTTCATTAGGGTGCTGGTAGATCCCTTCTTCCAGGTCACTAATGAAAGTCCCAGTCCTCATCCCAGGCCTCTGGCAGGAGCTGGATGGTGGGGGCAGCACATTTGGTGTCCAGCCTTTGGCTGCTTTCAGGCCCAACTGAGAGGCTGGCAGGGCCATTCTCCCTCTCTGCCACATCTGGAAAGGCTCTGCCCTTTCCGTGCCCACTGCCATCCTCAGGGAGCAATCCCAGCCAGGGATTTCTGCCATGGCTTCCCAGTTAGAGAGTCACAGACTGGTTTGGGTTGGAAGGGACTACAAAGTTCACCCAGTGCCACCCCTTGCCATGGGCAGGGACACCTTCCACTGGCCCAGGTTGCTCTGAGCCCCATCCAACCTGGCCTTGGACACTTCCAGGGATCCAGGGGCAGCCACAGCTTCTCTGGGCAACCTGGGCCAGGACCTCCCACCCTCCCAGCCAGCAATTCCTTCCCAGTATCTCATCCAACCCTGCCCTCTGGCGCTGTGCAGCCAGTTCAGACCTTCCATGCTCCCTTTTCTGGCCCTTTGTCCCACAGACTTTTTTGCCATCTCCCTTCCTGGCCACTCTTCTCCTTTGTTGTGCTGGGAGAGGCTCCTCCTCGGAGCTGTTTGTGACTCACGCTCATCTCAGCCACTTCCTCCCCTCGCCAACCCCACCTTGTCCCTGGCGTCCCCAACTCAAAGCCCCAGATCCAGCCTGTCCCCTGCAGCCCTTGCTTTTGCCAGGTGGCCCTGTCTGCTCCAAAGCTGCCTTTCCAATGTCCCCGACCTCGGGCCCTGCTTGGGAGCTGCATCCAGACTCCCTGGAGACACAGCGGGAGTGATGCTGTGGGACAGGCACCCTGGAGAGCCATGGATTTGCCTGGATTTGCTGCTGGGCAGGAATGTTTTCTTCACACCTTACGAAGGGGCTGGATGGGGGTGGCTCAAACTGCCATGGCACGGAGTCCTCCCACACGGAGAGTCTGGGTGATGGGAATGCAGGGTGCAGGAGACTCCCAGGCTCCCTAGACCCTGGCAGCTGTGCAGCAGCAGAGCACAGAAGGGACCTGTGGCTCACCAGCAGATGTGGATTGAAGGAAAGGAGGAGGCCAGAGAACAGCCAGTTGTTCCTGGGCTGATCTCATTGCCCGCATCCAGCCACGGTTTCCTCTCTCGTGCCACGGAGTCGCAGAGCTCGTGCTGGGGACCCGTTAGACTCACCCCAGACTTCCAGGTCTGTGGATGCAGCCACCCCTCCCTGTCTCACCTGTTCTGCCAGTGCAGGGTGTTTGCAGCAGATGCTGCTCCAGCTGGGAGAGGTTTTGGGGCTGGAGGCCCTGGCAGAGCCCCCCTCCCAGTGATTCCTGCCCCGTGCAGTCCCTGGGCCTCGGGGCAGGAGGGCTGAAGGAAGGGCCATTACTCATTTCCTGGACAGATCCAGGCCATACCGTAAATCTCTCCAGCTCTCAGTGGTTTGGGGGCTATTTCTGCTGAAGGATTGTCACGTAGATTAAAGCCTTGAATCCCAGCCAGCCGTGGACCGGACACGGTCCCATGCACAGTCCTGCAGGGCTCAGCCCGGCATTCCATCTGCTCCTGGCAGGGCAGTCCCTGCCTGGGAGCGAGGGCTCGACCCTGGGCATGCAGAGTGTTACTGCCCTTCCTTAGCCCTCCCTGGCAGGGGTAACAGCCCGGGGATGTGGCTGCTCGTGTGTCTGCTCCACGCTGGAGCCACCACGCTGTTCTGTGTGACCCCAGACAGGTCTCTGGGATGGGAACGTGGGTCAGCTGTCCTCCTATTCCCAAAGCTTTGGCACAAGGCCACAGCTGCATCCTGTTGTCCAAGTGGGAGGCACTCTGGGAAGCCCCTGGCAGCCGGTCCCTGGCCTGAGGGGTGGTGGAGGAGCTGCTGGAGCTGCAGCCCAGGGGCCAGTCCCGCTGCTTGGGCCTCCAGGCAGGGGTGTCGGGGACCTCATGGTGGGCAGAGCTCCAGCAACTGCAGCATCCACAGCTTTACAGAGCCAGAATCAGCCCTTTTCCCTGTAAAACCCCAAGACAGGCTGCTGAGCCCCACGAGTCACATCCTGCTGGTGTCCAGCCTCTCTCAGGGGTCCCCCTGGCAGCTGGGGAAGGAGCCAGGCAGGGATTCCAGAGGCACTGGTGCAGGTGTGGAGATGGGGGATCGTGGTTACAGGTGGGGGACAGGGCTACTGGGACAGACTGGGGGCACTGGTGGTGGTGTGGAGGGAAGATCCAAGGAGCAGAGCAGGCTGCAGGAGCTGGGACAACCCATCCTGGGTGGGGGTGGTCCCCTGCAAGACCCTCAACACAAGGCTCCTGATTTGGGGGGCGGCCCCACAGTGCCCCTGCCATGAGGAACCCTATGGGGTGGCTTTGGGACATTCCTGCATGGTTGGTTGAGGGTTCCTGGGTGATGGCCCCAAGATGGGAGTCTCTCTGTGTGGGGAGGTCCTGCAGGAGGTCACTGCAGGCCTGGGTGGAGTGTGGGGGTCCCACCAGGTCCCCAAGTGGAGGTTGGGCATCCTCTGCTGGACCCCTGCTGGGGAATGGATCTTCCTGGGGTCTGGCTGAGGTGCTTGTGTGCAGTGTGGGGGTCCCACCCCAGGGGATGCTCCCTGCTGGGAAATGATCCCTGCCAGGGGAGTTTGTGGGTCCCTGTGGGGATACTCATGTGCAGAGTGGGGGTCCACTCCCAGGGCCCTGCTGGGGAATGGTCATTCCTGGGGGATGGATGATCCCTTCTGGGTGGGTTCTGGGGGGTCCCTGTGGGGATGCCCACGTGCAGAGTGGGGCTCTGCTTTCGGGCTCCTCGCGGGGAATGGTCACTACTGGGGGATAATCCCTGCTGGAGTGGGGGGGTTGTGGGGTCCCTGTGGGGATGCCCATGTGCACCACGAGGGTCTCCAGCCGGGGGTCCCCTCCCGGGGTACCCTGGGGGTCCCGGCCGGGGATGCCCCGGGCTGACCGCGTGTCCTTGCCCCCGCAGGGCCCCCGGGCGGGCTGTGAGCGCGGCCGGCGCTGGCGGTGGCGGTGCGGGTGCCGGCCGCCCGCCGCGCCGCACGGAGCATGCCTCTGAGCCCCGCCGGCAGCCAGCATGAGAGCCCCGAGTCGCCGCCGCCGGAGCCGCCGCCGGAGCGCCAGCCCCGCGCCGCCGCCGCCGGGGAGCCGGGAGCCGGCCTGCGGGAGGAGACGCGGCTCGACCCGGCCCGGGGCCCCGCCGGGCCCCGCTCCCCCAAGCTGGCGGCCCCGGCGCGCATGGAGGAGCCCGCGCCCGGCGCCATCGTCGTCCGCATCGGCATCCCCGACCTGCAGCAGACGGTGAGTGCCCGACCGGCCGCGACCCGCACCTTGATGCGCAGCCCCGCGACCCGCTCCCCGACCCGCATCCCGAGCGGTGCCGGCCCCGCTCCGCCACAGCTCCCGCCCCGGCACCACCCGGCAAACTTCGCACCGCCGCGGGCGAGGGGCGACCGGCCACGGGCCCGGCGGGACGGGTCCCCATTGCCCCGCTCTCCCGTGCCGCTTCCCCGCTGTCCCGCTCTGCGCTGCCCCCGTCCCTGGTGCCCCCTTTCCGCTGCCCCAGCTCCCATTGCCCCACTCCCCAGTGCCCCTTCCCCACTGCCCCGCTCGCCGCTGTCCCCTCCCCGGTGTCCCCATGGCCGCTGTCCCCATCTCGGGTGTCCCCATCGCTGCTGTCTCCACCCCCGGTGCCCCCGGTATCCCCTCCCGCTCCCCGCAGAGCCCGGTGCGGGCAGCCCGGGCGGCAGCGCTGCCTCCCCGGGGGGCTCGTGGGCCCCGGTGCGGCCGCAGCGCGGGGCCGTTCCCGCCGCACCGGCCGGGACCGGGCTGTGTCCCCTTCCAGGGGCACGGCGGGGCTGGGAGCGGGGAGCGGGTGCGGCTCAGGAGGCGCCAGCACCAGCCTGGTGCCGGTACCAGAACTGCAGCGGGATCGGCTCCAGCAGCGGCTGGGCCGGGCTGCGGGAGCTCGGAGCCCAGCGCTGGGGTGTGACGGTGGCCCGTGTGCGTGGGCTGTGCCCCGTGTGGGCTGTGGTGGGTGCTGGGCGCTCTGCTGTGCCGGACGGTGGCACAGCGAGGTGTGATGTGCCGGGTCGTGGTGCCCGTGACGCAGGTGGGACACGCTGGTGTGACCTCCCGGGAGCACGGGTGTGACCCAGGAGGGCACAGGCTTTGTGGGGTGTTAGCCAGGGTGGCTCATGTGGCACAGAGGGCGGCAGGGCGGCAGGTCAGCCCGGGCACAGCGCGGGTCTGGCAGAGTGCAGCGATCCCCCCGGACACTGGGGGTCATCTGGCATTGGGTGCTTTATGGGGAGTAAGAGCTTGGAAACAGCCTGGTCAGTGCAGGGGAGGCTTGGCCGAAGGGCTGCGGTAACGGTGGCCCTAATGAAGAGCCCTCATTAGAGGAGCACCGGGGGCAGTGCTTGGGGCTGGGCGGGCTGCGGGGCACAGGGAGCCTGTGCTCCAGGAGGAGGCACTGTGGGTAGGACAGGGGGAGCCCCTTTGGGATGAGGGGAGGAAGATGAGGCGACAGACCTGGAGCGAGCAGAGCGTTGCTGGGGGTGGAGGGGACTGAGGGAAATGAGAGCTACGCTATTTGGTTGGAAAGAGCTCTCTTTTGGGGCCAGGCACGGGGGTCCTGAGGAAGGGGTCGCGGCGGGGAACAGAGAGCTTGCTGGAGGACAGCGATGCTGGGGCCGAGGGCCAAGGCTTGGGGCCGAGGTGCTGCTCGCAGGCACAGCTCTGCAGGCTGAGCTGCCGGCGCCGGGGAGCGGCAGAGACGGGCGAGGCAGCGCTGCCGCTGCTGTCGAAGAATCGGACAGACGCGCTGCTCTAGCGGGGACTGACCTTGTGCTGCGGGAAGGGCTTTAACTCCGCTCGCTCCCCCCCAGTCCCCGCAGGGGTTGTGAACGGGGGCACGGGGGCTGCCCTGTCCCCTGAGCGCGGGGTTAGCGCAGCACATCAGCTCCTCCTCTGCCACCCTGCGCACACCCCTCCCTGAGCCGGTGCTCCCATGGGTCTCATCCTGCCCCGGTCCTCACCCCAGATCCCGCAGCACGGGGGGCCGAGGGCTGTCGGAGAGGGCTCTGCCCCTGGCCCTGCTGTCCGGCTCTCTGCTTTGCTGTTCCCTGGGCACTGCCCCGCACCTCCCGTCCCTGCCTAGCTTTGTTTTGGGAGTGTCCGTGGGCAGTGGAGGAAGCAGCGGTGACTCCTTTTCTCCTGGAGAGCAGCAGTCGGGCTCAGGGCATGTTGTGACCTCCCCTACTCCCAAGGACTCCTCTCTCTTAGAGGTCTTTTCCAGCCCAAGGACCATCCCCAGAGCCAGAGCGGAGCCGCTCAGCTTTGGCAGACCGAAGATCCCCCGAGGCAGCGGGAGGGAATGGGGCACTTGAGGCAAAGCTGAGCATCTTTGCATGTGAATAGCAGGAATTTCCCTCCCACACCTCCCTTCCCCAGTGGTGCAACCCCCGTGGGCTGGGGGTGGGAGCCGCTGCAGAGACTGGGGGTCTCAGCGGGCTGTCTGGGCTGGGGGTGCCGTTCCTCTCCCCCCAGCCGGTGGATTCGGGGGGCAGGAAGCCCTGTGGGTGCTGTGGGGAGCTCTGGGGCCGGGGAAGCGCTGTGGATGCTGGCAGGGGTCCCACTTAAGTAAAGGGAGGTTGGAAAAAACCCAGCTGGCTTAACAGCCTGCAGCCCTGAGAGCTGTGTGGTGCCCTGGGACTGGCCCTGGACTTCCCTCGGCTCCTCTGCATCATCCCTGCGCACCATTTCCCTTTTCCAGGCACCCCCAGTGCTCATTCCTCATGCCTTGAGCAGCCAGGCTTGGTCCCTGTCTGCAGGGTGACATCCAGGCAGGGGGGGCCTGATCAGTGTGAAAAGGGAGAGGGAGAAAACTGAGCCACTGAGCCCATCCTGGCTCCTCCATGAGGAGCTCCGGGATGTGCTGGAGAATATTCATTCAGCAGCTCACAGGACAGGTGCTCTGGCGCTGTGCATGTGTTCCCTGCCTCTTCTTCCACTCTTACAAGACACAGGGCCCTTGATCTCACCCACTTGGAGAGCAGGGAGGCTCCTAAACCTCTTCCCTGCTCCAGCAGGACTGGGTGGTTCCAGAGAGGGCTTGGTGTGCTGAGCTCCCCCAGCACCAGTACACTTGCCTGTACCTGCCTCCCACAGGTGTCCCTGGAGCTCTGGATCCTGCCCTGTATCCCCCTCCCACAGGTGTCCCTGGAGCTCTAGATCCTGCCCTGTATCCCCCTCCCACAGGTGCCTCTGGATCTGTGGCTGATGCACCCTTGACTTTGCTATAGCAAACTCTTCCTGAAGATGGGAATTCTCTTTTGGGATTTTCAGGCACGGGGTGGACAGGCAGCTTTTCAGCACAAGTCAGACTCGGTTTGCTGCCAGAGATCAGGACTTCAGCTGGGCAAAGTTCAGTTTATGAAGTTCACATCTTCTGTCAGGAGCCTCCAGGTGGGATTTTAGACTGTGGAGCAGCTGACTGGCTTTTCAAGTGAAGTTTCCCAGCTCTCTTGGAGTCGTCTCCAAAGCTCTTTTAGGTTCCTTTACAACTCTCTACCACTGTGTTTATTCATCCCAAGGCCTTTGAATTCACTGGTAGTGGTTTCCTTTGTTAGGAGCAAATCTCCACCCAGGCTATGAGCTTGTCTCTAGGGGGGGGAAAAAAAAAAGGCTGTCTCCTCCAGCACACCCCTGTTTGTATTTGCACTTTTAGATTAAATAATCTGAGCCATCTGCACCTAATCCAAGCTCAGAGAAGAGGCTAAACTGCCCACACCTGTGCTGGCATCCTGATTAAATGCAACCTGGGGTATTTATACCAGAGTGCTGAGGGCTGGAGCTCTTTGCTGCTGGTCAGAGGTGCCTTGGGGAGCTGCAGTTTCCAAAATCTCTGGAAGTGGTTGTGGCCCCAAACCTGTCAGAGTTCCAGAAGTGTTTGGACAATGCTCTCAGGTACACGGTGGGATTTTTGGGGCTGTCCTGTGGGGATCCAGGAGTTGGGCTCTGTGAAGCCTTCCAGCTTGGGATATTCTGTGATTCCATGGGCGTGGGACAGCTCTGCAGGTGATGGTGGCCATGGAACGTGCCAGGGGACATGGGCAGTGCTTGGCACGTGCTGGCCACTAGAAGAGTCCTCTGCCCTGCACTGCTCCTGGTAGGTGACTCCACTCCTTACCTGGGTATTTTTCCTGGAGTCCAAAATTTCCTGTCCCCTGTTCCCTCTCCGTGGGGCATCTGAGACATCCAGGGCAAGTTTAGGGAAAGGAAGATACCACGTTCTTGTTGCTTCAGTTTTGGGCCCCCTCCTCCTCCCTTCCCTTTCTTCTGGGCCTGCCCAATGTGCTGGGGGGGTCTGCAGTGGTGGGACCCCCCCCCTCCTGCTCTTCCCACCCAAACTGTGGGTGCTGTGCTCCTGCCAGCAGGTTTTGGGGGGGATGGTGGTTGCAAGGAGGGTGGCTGTTCCGCTGGGAGCCTTGGTGTGAAGTTGGGGCAGGTGGTGTGGCACAGCAGGAGGAGGAGGAGGAGGAAGGACAGTGCGTGGGGATGCCAGGAATGCAGGCTCTGCTCCTGCCCGGTGCCGACAGGGAGCTGCTGCCTCTGGTGGTGCCTGTTTGGGCAGCCCTTGGTCACAGCTGTGGTGTTTTCAGGGCAGATCCTTGGTCCCTAAACCAGCAGGATCACAGTCCCAGGGGATTTGGGCAGAGTTTGGTCTCCTCTGCAAAGGGAATGGTGTTGGAGCATGGCCTGTGAGCTGGGAATGCCCAGGAGATGCTGAAGGATCCACATCCTCTGGAAGGATGTCCTGTGGTGTCCAGGCAGGGGGACTGGAGTCCCCATCCCTGGAGGTGTTCAAGGAATGACTGACTGGATGTGGCACTCAGTGGTCTGGTCTGGTCTGGTTGACAAGGTGGGGATGGGTCAGGGGTGGGACTCGGTGATCTCAGAGGTCTTTTCCAACCCCAGGGATTCTGTGAATCTTTCCTGGGCTCCTCCTCAGCACGTGGATTTGGGGATGTGTTTGGACCGGTGAGGAGTCCAAGGCCCTGGAGTGTGGGACCACCCCGCTCTGAGAGAGGCTGTTTGAGGTCTCCACTGAGCCCAGAGCCTCCTTTCCTGAGGGGTGGAGTTTTCCTTTCCCTCTGTGGCTGCAGAAAAGGCTCAGGTTAATTTTCTGGCTTATCTCCCTAATGCAAATGAAACAAGGGCCCGAGAACCAGCACACAAAGCGTCGATTCTTCTGTTCAGCCGAGGGAAGTGAAGAAATAAATTTTCCTATTGTGAAA